TAAATGAAATCAACGATCCTGTTAACAAAAAAATAAAAAATCTTTTAAGCCTTATTTAAACTTTTATTTATTTATTTATTTATTTAAACTCTCTTAATAAAAAAAAAGTTAATTCTTTTTTTTTTAAATTAAAACGATAAACAACGGATTTTCGTCGGAAAATTTCAAATACAAATAAAAATAATAGTAATAATTTTTTTAAACAAAGTTTTTTAGGTTTATTATTAATAATAAACTTGTTTTAATTACTGCCACGAACAATTGTATAAAGTAATTGATGACCCTTTTTTTTTTTTTTTTTTTAACAAAAAGAAATTAAACGAAATGTTAAAATGTAATAAAAACCATTTTATTTATTATATTTATTGTTTAACAACTTTTTTATTTATTTAAAAAAAAAAAAAAGAAAAAAAAGGTTTATAATTAAAAAATTTTTATTAGTTTAATTGTACGACGTTAGGTTAGCGTAAAAATAAAAAAAAATTCAATATGGCGTCATTTTTTATTCGCGCGTCAAATTTTTATTTTATTTTACAAAGTTCATCGATGTAGTGTTAGTAATAATAATAATAATAATAATATGTAATTTTTTTTTTGTCATTCGTTTCAGATATGATTAAAAGTGATTTATGATGATGATGAGAGAGAAAAAAAAATGTGACGGTTAAAAGTGTTTGAAAATGACGGAAATTAACAGCAAATTATATCCGCCCTACGACGATAGATATAACAACGTGGTGAATTCGAACGTAAAACCGTTCAGAGAAAGAAATAAATGCGTTCATAATTCCGCTTATTACGTTCAAATATTATTTAGCAATATTGGAATATGCGCTCTTTTAATCGGTTACACTTTTCTCGGAAGTTTTATTTTTCTAACTATCGAAGGACGACCGGAAGTCGATACTAAAAATTTATCATCAAATGAAAAAGTAACGAACCTTAAAAATAAATTGAATAAAACTAACAGCGCGAGTACGTGGAAGCAGTCGACGGAAGATTTTAGAACTAAAACCGTTGAAAATATATGGGAAATAACGGCGGCATTAAACATACTCTATCATGAAAATTGGACTAGACTCGCCGGACAGGAAATAAGTAAATTTCAAGATGAAATCATTCAAAAATTAACGGAAGAAATATTAAACATTCACAACAACAACAACAACAACAATCACAATAATAATAATAATAATAATGGGAATTTTTTAGATAATACACAACAAAACGATTGGAATTTTTCAAAATCTTTTTTATATTCATTAACGATTTTAACAACGATAGGTAAGTAATGATAATAATAATGATATTAATTTATATATATATTTCGAATGAAATTAAAATTAATGACGTCACAATGGAATCCGCCATTTTGATTTATTGATATAAACGGTTATTTGATATTTTATTATTTGTTGATATAAAATTTTCTTTTTTTTAAGGGTGTGCGTGTGTGCGTGCGTGCGTGTGAATATCGTATTAAA